TGCTCTTCAGAAATACCTCTAAAAGGTGTTTGGTAAGAATATTGGAATTGGTTTCCCTGAAAAACTCCACATAATCCTGTTCCTTGTTCCAGGCTTCCATTCTCTTTTGTAAAGCGGATGAAAGTACCAAGAGGACAAAATCCGATTTCAGGGCCTCACCAATCATGAGCAGCTGATCTGGGATGTCGTAGTTTTTGAGAAATGTCGATGCCAGATCCATTTTAAGATGGCATCCATTCAGGTAGTTGACAAGTTTAATTACAGCATTGGTGTGATGCTCGTGGTCATCGATAAGCAGGACAAGACCTCGTTTTTTCACCATCAAATGCACACCTGTCAATGAAAAAAAAAAAGTAATAGTGGGTATATTTTAAACATAATTTGTGACCACCTTACAATGAAAAGAAAGAACTTATCAACAAACGGAAGCGATTTATAAGTTGTAATGGCTGGGCGCCTGTATCCGTACATTATTTACATTATTCGGACTATTGTCCTCATCTTTGTCGCCATATTTATTACAACGTTTCGGCCGTTGTACACTCCGGTATTCTTCAGGTGGGTGGAATGTCGAACTGAACCCTTTATTTCGTTCACTGGGGTAGACTGTTCTAGTTCCACGTGCCATGTTTGATGGATGTCAGTTATCAGTTATTTCCTGTTAATTTCCCTCTGAAAATTCTCCACTGCCTTAACCGGGTATTGAACTCACACTCTTTGGTGAAAGGGTTCAATTCGACATTCCAACCACCTGAAGAAGGCCGGAGCGTACAACGGCCGAAACGTTGTAATAAATATGGTGACAAAGATAAGGACAATAGTCCGAATAATGTAAATAATGTACATAATACCTCATCTCAGAAATATAGACAGAGCCTGTATCCGTGGATGACTTTCTACTGACCAATCCCCGTTGCAGACGCCTGCTCAGGCACACTTTGTTCAACACCCATAGAGCGCATCACGATGATTCGCAACTTCGTTGTTAGTACAACCATTGAGCCCTCCACCAATATTTCTGTCTACCAAATTTCACTCACAAGCAATGCAAATGTGCCACACGCTGAGATCGCCTCCTCAGTCACCTTCCTGAGAAATCAACCACGGTAATACTCAAACCCGGGTCTCATGGTGGGCAAGTGAACGGCCACGTACCCATTGTAGAAGGTAAGAATTCTTTTGGCGCTAATGACTGTTTAGTGATTAGCTTACTTATTGACTCATAGATAGGCAAAGAAGAGACGGATTCATACCTAAACAGAATTTGATAAACAATTATGCAGATATGAAGTCGGGGATCAATTCTGTATTACAATTCATATATAAACTGAATCCTCACTTTGTGGCCAGGGAAGTTTTTATACATTTATATTTCAGAGTTTGTAAATAAATCTAAAATACATGCCTGTGTAGTTAATCAGTATTCCATTGATCAACTGAATCGTTTTCTGTGCCTTATACAATCATTTCTAGGTTAAGCCAGAAAAATATTTTTAGATTGTAAGGATTTTTTTGAGATAATGGTTTTAGTGATACAATTCTTACTAATTAACCCATAGGCGAGGCGGGTAGAAGTGGCGGATTCATACCTTTCTCAAGGGTATTTGCGCGTAAGTGAATATAATGAACCCAATCAGAATTGGAACTGGGCTCTTCAATTAACAATTCCTAACCATTATTCATTACACAAACCGCACATACAAGTTTGCAACACCTGGTATTCCCAAGCGGTCAACCATCTAGGTACTTACCAGGCTCGACGTTGCTTAACTTTGGTGTTTCAACGTGATGTAGCTTAGTAAGCTTAGTTACTTAGTGTGCTTTTCTTGAAATAACATGTCAGGTTTTACTGGTTTACATGGTATCCACAGTTGAAGGAGGTTTGAAATGACTAGTGTAAAGCATATTTCTAACATAATGGTGGCCATTGCATTGACACCAGTGAAAGACAATAAAAAATAATGGGCATAGTTCAAAGTTCATTTACACATTCAATGTGCGCCTGATGGATAAATGAACTCTGAAATATACAGTGTATTTCTCAAAGTGTGTGCTTCAACTCTCGAAATAACATGTGACAAAACACACTGGATTACTGTTGTAATTTTGGCCAATCCTCGTCGCCAAAATGCTGTAACCTAGGGAGGGTTACTGAATAGAATAATCACTCGAAGGTTGGTAATGAACGATAATACTTAGGACAAGAACAACACATATAAGATTCGCCAGCGGCACGTAGAAGAAGTAGTCAACTGCTACAAATGAGTCAAAGGAATTCCACAATGAATCTCCAACTGTAAGATATATACCAATCACTCCACGCAGTCAGATTTGGCACAAGGCCGAATTTAATGCGAGGTATCCGAGCCCGTAGGCACAGCCAAAAATTCCTCGTAGACCTCGTATAAAACTGGGTCCGGTAGCTGTTTTCCCTAAACGAAACTATGTCCTTCGACATAGGCTCGTTTGGGGATCCTCTCTGCCTAAAGATCAGCTGAAGACGAATCTCCAACTGCAGGATATCTGCCAACCGCCCCATACGGTCAGATATAGCACAAGGCCGAATTTAATGTGGGGCATCCGAGCCAGTAGACTCATCCAGAAATTCCCCGTAGACTCCGTATAAAACGTTGTCGGGTAGCTGTTTCCCAAGACGAGACTGCCCTTCGACATAGCCTGGTCTGGGAATACACTCTGCCAGGAGGCAGAGAGTTTTACCAGCACAGCTGGAGACGAATCTCCGACTGAATACTAATATACAGTATTTACTACTGTATTTATGTGACTGGGGACATAGCCATTATCGTCTGTAGGTATGCTACAACAGTTACACTGTATCAATAGCAAGAAACGATCCCTGACCTGAGCTATTATCAAATTCTCAATATTGATTACAAGACTAAAAACACTCCAACTGCTCTTCTAGTTATCCATAGTTAAAGGAGAAGTTGGTTCATGCTTTATCAAAGTGAATTAATACATAGTGAACGTAAATTGTCCCAGCCAGAATCCCTATGCAGAGTATATTGAAATAATAATAATAATAATAAACTTTTGTTCAAGTAATTTTAGAATTTGTTGTGAATGAAGCATGATAGTAGGTGTCATGCGGATGGGATATTTGGGACAAATTTGATCCCCCAAAAGCTATAGTATCATATGTATGCTGGAAAATATCTGGTGAGAGATATTACCGCTCATCGTAAACAGTGCAGTGGCTGATCACAGTTCATTAATTACTATGACAAGGAGCATCTGGCGTCAATTGTCTGCGATGACAAGCAAGTGACACTGGTTGAAATCACATCTACATTCAATAGAGGAGATATGAGATGAATATCCAGTAGGTCAGTTCAGTTTAGCTTCTACGATATATTGAAGCAGAAGAACCACCTGGTTGTTCCTGTTAATACCACGACAACAAACACAGCACCTCACCAAGGCTCATGATGTCAGTTTTAATTGAATCATGCTAATGGCAGGGTACGAGTTTGGCACAAGACCCCTGAAGCCACGAACCCCAATGGCAAGCTGGTGGCGGTTCCATAATAGTATGGCGTGTTTAAAATTAGTTTCAGTTTCTGACTTGTTTTGAACAAATTTAGAAGGTGGAGTCCAATGACAAACCTTTCCTTTCGCATATATTCACCGTTAATATAAAAATGCAACTGTTTGCATAATGTTAGAAAAAGTTCTGATGTTTCCGTAGTTCTTTGAGCAATCGGTCGATTGCATTTCACAAACATTAAGAAACGGAATCTCATATAATCTTAAGAAAAGAAAAATTAGTTTAAATGCTCGTCTTTCTAAAGAGGATAAAAATACAGGATTTTTTTATTTGTTAATGGTCACACAAAAACAGCAAAAATGATGCAAGATAAAGAAAATCAGGCTTAAGCATCAATGTGATGTAATAAATCAATAGGAATAATGAAGAACGTATTGTGTCTGTGTTACGATAAAATACAACAATAAGATGCAATAAAACTAGTAATGAAATAATAGTAATAATAAAGAGTGTTGGGATAAAAAGCAACAATAATGAGTCAGAATTAAATTAACAGTGATTTTCTGGTGAACTTACTTAATTTCCAATGTGTAATGGAAAGAGTCAGTGCAATTAGGAGTAATAGTCCAATGACAATTCCAAGAGGGAAGAGGAATTGATTTGACTCTTGTTTGTCAGGAGACTGGACTCTTGGAAGACAAGGTTTTACTGAAAAATGAAGGTTTTAGGTTTTCAAATCAAATACTTGTGTAAAAGGAGAAGCACACACAGAAAAAGAAAATTCAAAGAAGAATAATATAAAATAAAAACATATGAAAAGAAAAAGAACAGGGAAGGGAAAGCAAGCAAACGCCCAAAAGAAACAAATATTGAAAAGAAAAAAAAATATAAGAAAAAAAAAAAAGAAAAAAAATAACAAAAGGAAAAAAAGTCTGAAAAGAACAAAGAAGAAAAGTAAACATCCAAAAAGAAAAATTAGTCAAGAAACATCCAGAAAAAAAAGAAGAAAAAACCTCAAAAGAAAGAAAGACATAAAAGAAGAAAAGACCAGAAAAGAACAGCATAGAAAAAAAGCAAGAAAACACTAAAAAACAAAACACTAAAAAACAAAACAAGAATGACCCCAAAAGTAAAAAAAAAAAAAAAAATAGCCAAAAAGAAAAACAAACAAAATACACCAACAAAACAACAAGAAAACAACAAAAGAAAAAAACAAGACCCCCACCCCAAAAAACAAAAAAAGAAAAAGAAAAAAAACAAGACCCCCACCCCAAAAAACAAAAAAGAAAACACCCCAAAAGAAAAAAAACAAGACCCCCACCCAAAAAACAAACAAGAAAACACCCCAAAAGAAAAAAAACAAGACCTCCACCCCAAAAAACAAACTAGGAAATACCCCAAAAAACAAACAAATAAGAACCCCCCCACCAAAAAAAAAAAGAAAAAATGCCCCCCAAGAAAGCATTCAAAAAAAAAAAGCAAAAAACTACCCCCCAAAAAAAAACAAGACCCCTAAAAAACAAGAAAACAAAAAGAAGACCCCCCACCCAAAAAACAAAACAAAACAAACAAAAAAAAAAAACAACAAAAAAAAAAAGACACAAGAAAACAACAAATAAGAAACTAAAAAAACTGATAGTAAAGAACAGCAAAAGAAAAAGAAAGATTTTCAGAGTACAATTTGCTTTTAAAAAAAAAAAAAGGAAGTTTTTTTCCAATCAAAGATTTTGTGAAAAGAATAAGAAGTAAAAAGTGAAGAAGTATAAAAGAGATTAGAACAGTCTTACACAAACCTGGTGTCAAGTACACTGGGTCCGATTTACTATTCTGGCATCTTTGACAAGTATTTTCAGAGTCTTTACATGCACATTTCTGATTATCATTATAGTAACGGTCATAAACACTGACCTGTAAATATAATCAGTAAATTCTCATCAGTTATATTCAGAAAGATTAATCACAAAAAAGAAAAACATTGAAAAACACACACACACACAAAAAAGAAAACTAGAAAAAACGACCAAAAGGCAAAAAAACAAACCACAAAATAGAAAGGAGAACATTTTTCAATCACCTCACCCCAAACAAGGTAATTAAGCCACTAAGACGCAGGGAGTTACATGAAGGAATCGGATGTCGTAATTGACCACCTGAAGTAGGATTTCGCAATTGACCACCTGAAGTAGGATTTCGTAATTGATCTCCTGAAGTAAGATTTCGTAATTGATCTCCTGAAGTAAGATTTCGTAATTGACCACTTGAAGTAGGATTTCATAATTGATCTCTTGAGTAGGATTTCGCAATTGATCTCTTGAGTAGGATTTCGCAATTGATCTCTTCAAGTCGGATTTCTTAATTGACCACTTGAAGTGGGATTTCGTAATTGACCTTTTGGTGTCGGATTTCGTAATTGATCTCCTGAAGTAGGATTTCGTAATTGACCACTTGAAGTAGGATTTCGTGATTGACCTCTTCAAGTCGGATTTTGTAACTGACCTCTTGAAGTAGAATTTCTTAATTGACATCTTGAAGTCAACGTGTTAAGTTATTAGCATTTAGCACTCTACATTATTCACTAAGTATTAATTCCCCTGCATTTTATTCATTTTCAAAAGCCTCTCAATCGTACAGATTTCAAAGTCAATTTCTGTTATCACAAATCAATCAAAAAGTTAGAACAGAGTTAACTGCATCTTAACAAAATCTTAAGTCTAAAGACAAAGTCACCTATAGAGTTCTAAATGTTAATCTGTTAGAATTAAGACTGCAAGGTAATCTTATACAGATTGTAAGTTTATTTTTATCATATTACACAGTCATCTGTTTATGCTAGACCTAAATACATACACTATTTACATTATTCGGACTATTGTCCTCATTTTTGTCGCCAACGTTTCGGGCGTTGTACGCTCCGGCCTTCTTCAGGTGGTTGGAATTCAGTTCGACATTCCAACCACATGAAGAAGGCCGTTGAGTTGCCCTGGAGTTGAGTTGTCACGGAGATGTGTTGGCAGGTGTTGAGGCGGCGGTGTTAAGTCAGCGGTGATTTGTTGTCCTGCACACTCTCATTCCAATTCCCTATCACACTATGTTTGGGAAGGGTTTATCTTGTCCTACCTCTCGGAACATTTGTTAAAGAATTTTGATTTGTTTCTTTTTTTTTTATGAACATTCTTATCTCAAATATCAATACTTATGTCATCAGCATCGCCCCTGCCTTCATCATTGCTGCACTGGCCTCTGGATAGAAAACGGGAACACCGTTTTCTCTTAGTAGTTTCATATGGAACGTGGTACATAATATTTAAATGATCAAAGCTAATTTTTTTGTCAAATCTGTGCTTGTATATGCACAGAGAATAATTTAGGAAGATATTAAAAATATTGAAGTTCCTTCTTGTCGTACCCCTGAAGAAGTTGTGGCATACAGATGAAATTATGGAACACCCAGTAAGGATCGAACTCACTACTCAGTCATTATTGTACTAGCGAGACATGCTTGCTAGACATTGCGCTATGTTGAAGTGCCTAAATGATTTTCTAAGCGTAGCTGAGATGTGAAGTATGCGGCAACTGAGGATCGAACTCAGTACTCAGTCGTAATTGACCAAGCGACACAAACTTGCTAACCATTACACCACATTAAAGTGCCCTATACGATTTACCAAGCGTGGCTTAGTTGTGGCACATTACCGAAAGCGTGGAACACTCAATGAGAACCGAACTCAGTCGTAAAAAATACCTTTCCTATATATAGTGGGTTGAAACAAGCCTAAAATTCAACCGTAATCATACATGCACACTAAATGACTAAAATAAGCGGTAAGCAAATATTTTTGCCTAAAAACCTAAACGTGGGGAAAAATTACATGCAGTCAGGCAAAAATGGGAATAGAGAAAAGAAAAAAAAATCACTCAATACTTACCAAAAGAAAGTGCAAGCCTTTGCAAATCTCCAGCTCAAAGAATGCGTCAAGTTGTTTCGCATTATCCTAAGTAAAAGAGAACATATTTATCGATTACAAAATAAAGCTCGCAAAGTTCAATACTGTTTGCAAATGGAAAAGGAAGATCCTGTTACATCTATTTATCACTTAGTATCACATTTAACGAATTCATCTCGTACTTATGCTAATAGTAATATTAGCATTAATTGACTAAGCAACCAGTACTGTTCTCGGATGAAATTTATAAAATCTTTCTCTTAAAACACTTTTTTTTGGAAAAAGGGCGAAATAATAGTCATTTTTGTATGTCTGTTACAAAATCTAAAGAGAAAATCCATATTAAAAATAAAAGATGAAAGAAATAAATACTAATTGTGTGGGTTCAGCATCCACACTCACCCAGATAATAATGATTCTATGTTTGTGTGTCCGTTATGAAAACAATCTGTAGAGAAAATTCATATTAACATTGAAAGAGGAAAAGAAATGAAAAGAATGCTCATAGTGTGGGGTCTGCATCCACACTCACCCCAATAATCATGGTCTTAATTTTGTATGTCTGTTACAAAATCTAAAGCGAAAATTCATATCAACATTGGAAGAGGAAAATACTGGTAATCGGTGATGGTAATGGCAGTATTAGCCGTTTGCCTATAAGGAAATATTTGGTATTCATTGACCAAGCAGCGGTTTTCGGCTGAAATTTATAAAATCTTTCTCTTAAAAGAGTTGTTTTTTATAAAATCTTTCTCTTAAAACAGTTGTTTTTTTCTCAAGTCCAGTAGCTGTTATAGCTTTTTCCATTATTAATGGAGATTTACTTCTTGATTATATCATTATTTTCTCTTCAAGTTACATGTGCTATCCATTTTAGTTGTTGCTGCTGTTGGTGGTCAAGTGATGTGGTTTCTGTTATTTGTTACAATTCTTTCTTTGTGATTCTGTAACGCAAGTGCACAATTTTCAAAGATGTATAATCATTGCCAAGACCCCCAGGCTATGCTCGCTCAAAGCCATTTCAGCCATTGATCTTAGGAAGCGGTTGTATACAGCTGACAGTTTAGATATTTCTGAAAGGGGTTTGGCTCCATGCATGACATCCATATGAAGCTCTCGATTTGACGACGCTATTTGAGAACACGATTCGAGTTTTCAGGCTGATATTTTTGTTTTGTAGCATGTAGATAAGTTCAGCTATAATATATATATCACATTAATTGCACAACTCTGAGTTTCATTCCGAAGCAATTTTCAAATGCTGGAAATATATTTATTATTATTTATATTTGGGGTTGAGAGCGTTTTTTTTTTTTTTTTTTTTAATTTTCTGGTTCAAGCGAGATATATTATTGTTGGGGTGGAATATTATTGGCGTTAAAATATTTAAATGAATTGTAGTTTAATTTTAAATTTGAATTTAAGCTCAGATTAATATTTATGATTTAAAATTTACCCATTCGGTTATATATATTTATGTGATGTCAACGAATACTCGTTGTCACTTTCGTAATGCTCGTTGTAGTAGAGACTTTGTAATCGCAGATACAACTATAGTAACGCCGTTGAACAATACTGGTGTCAGACGCCTTCGAATAACACTCGCACTAATAGTACTTGCTCGATAATACTCGCTAGAATAGTAACCCCCGACTAGTAATCCGTATAGTAATCGGTATAAAGAAATTATAGTATAGAGAATAGCGATCCGTAGAGTAATAGAGGATAGAGGAGAAAGAGTGATCAATTAGACACCACGCTAATTCCCATATATTCATTTCCTTTGTGTTCACGTAATCTACTTATTCAAATGGGATCGCCTGTTTTGTGCTCTCTGGGGGTCTATGTTTAAACTCCAGTGTCGACAGCGACACTTTATTCTTATATATATATATATATATATATATATATATATATATATAAAAATGGGCTCTCCCATCGGTTTCGACGTATGAGGATCTGACAGCTTAATTGATTCAGTTATGCAATTTTGTGCGATAATCTTAATTGGCACTCAAGACCCGCTAATGATTTACAAAGAAGGCCACATATGGAGCAAGAGTGAGGATTAATCAAGGTAAACCAGCAGAAAACCCACACAAGTGATTTGATTAAAGTGGTGAGGGCTTGTGCAGAACCATTCGGAACTATTGATACACTCAGCCGGTGCAAATAAATACCACAGACGAAGCAGACAATATACTTGAGGCTTTTCGTGTAAGAATTTTCGATCTCCTATACCCTAAATAGCTTGGTCAGCTCTGGTAGACACTATTTGCCCATAGCTGGGACCCTAACAGGTGCTACAACCCCGATATATATATATATATATATATATATATATATATATATATATAGCATAATGAGAAGCCACGTATACTTTCTTAATATGTATATATATATAAAAAATTCAAATTAAAAAATAATAATGTTTTTTATTTTATGAAAGTATTTGATTATTTATATATATATTTGATATTTCAAATTGTCCTAAATTTTTTCATGAAAAATTGAGGACAATTTCTGAAATATCAAATATATATATAAATAAATACTTTCATAAAATAAAACATTATTATTTTTAATTTGAAACTTTATATATATATATATATATATATATATATATATATATATATATATATACAGGCTTTCTAAAAAATGTATACATATTTTGAAGCTTTCTCAAGAAATAATTCACGCAGCTAGAACCAACGATATCTAACTTAAATAATGCATATGAAGACAGAATAAATTCATGCTCTTAAGAATTTCCCATGCTTTCAAATTGATGTCCATTATGATCCAGTTACGGATAACAATACAACGCAATGGAGTCACAAGCAGTAATCAACATTTCGATAGTTTTCTTGGATTTCTGTGAAAACTTTCCATTACCCTCTGTTGCTGTACAGGACTCAGTTGACATCTGTGGTCTTCTGGAATGCTTTTTATGCACGCCGTATACAGCAATATGCGAGGAACCATTGAGCGAAGCTTTTCAATCTGACTGCGATTTGGACGCTATGAACCCTTCATTTTTTTGTTTCTAGATACGGAATTTCAGGACGATTATTTGACATAATACAATAATTCCTGAAAGACCGTGAAATAAAGGTCGCACTAAACGGGTTCTCCTTCAGTTCCTTTCTCACGAACGCTGGTGTTCTCCAAGGCTACACTGTTTCTGATCTTCATTAACGATCTTACTGATGTCATCAGTTCCCAAGTAGATATCTACGCAGACGACACTACTATTTACTCCTGCCTCAATAACAAATCTGGTGTCGCTGAAAAAATTAACCTGGCCGTTGGTTTCGAAAAGGACCTTCCGTCTGTGGTTGACTGGGGCTGGTAAACATTAATGGCTCAAAAACAAAACTCATCATTTACCCACCAAAGAGAACCCTCTCTGCCTCCCATTAGATTGCCTGTTGCTCAACTCCACGAGGGCACCTCCCTGTGCCTGCTGGGGCTAACGCTGCCCGAAGATGGAACAAATACATTGAATCAGTTGCTTCATCTACCGCATAGAAATGTGGTTCTCTGTGTCGCGCCAGAAAGTTGAGTCCATTCTTCAAATCTACAAGTCAACCATTCGCCCTTGCATGGAATACTGCTGCCATATATGGTCTATATCCAGACAGACACACACAAACACATTAACACTATAAAACAAAGTCACGTAAGGTCTGCTTGACCAATGAAAAACAAAGAACACGGAACTTAAACCACCAGAAGTTTCTCTTCCAAATTGTGGTGGAGCTTAAATAAAAGCAAATACGGTTAAGTTTATAAATGTTCCCTATTTATTGGTTATCTTATCATATATATATATATATATATGTGTGTGTCATTCGCAGACAGTACTGTATCACAGCTCCTCAGTGCGACAAGACATCCGAATGCTTCAAACCAGGATTGAAACCCAACCGATTTGGTGTCAGTCAGAGTTTCTACTACTGAGCTATCTTCATTCGACAGAAGGGAACAGCTGAATCTAGCGTATTGTTTTTTACGAATGCAAATAAATGCCAATCAGCCATAAGGCACTATTCATTTTACTGAAGAGCTTTGCATTAGCGCAGATGGCTGTTGTTTAGTGAATCAGTTTGTCATACAACAGTGCTCAATTGAAAATATATTTTCAAGAGCTAAATTATGTCATTCGTAGACAGTACTGTTTCGATGTATCACAGCTCCTCAGTGCAACTAGACATCCGAATGCCTCAAGCCATGATTGAAACCCAAGCGATATATATATATATATATATATATATATATATTGTGTGTGTGTGTGTTTTACGAGACTTTGCCTGAAAAAAAATCCAAATTCACGGATTTGGATAAAGACAGACTCCAAATGACATGAGTATCTATTGTAGCATACCTACGGACGATAATGCGTATGTCCCCATTCACATAAATACTGTAGTAAATACCCTGTGTTGGTCAGCAGTTTTAGGTTCGTCTCCAGTTGTGTTGTTCAAACTCTGCCTACGGACAGAGAGGATCCCCAGACGAGGCTATGTCGAAGGGCATAGTCTCGTCTAGGGAAAACAGCTACCGACCCCGTTTTATACGGGGTCTACGGGGAATCTTTGGCCGAGCCTACGGGCTCGGATACCCTACATTAAATTCGGCCTTGTGTCGCATCTGATCGCGGAGACAGTTAGTAAATATGCTGCAGTTGGAGATTCGTCTTCGGCTGGGCTTGTCAAACACTGCCTCCGAACAGAGAGGATCCTCAGACGAGGTTATGTCGAAAGGCAGAGTCTCGTATCGGGAAACAACTACCCGACCCTGTTTTTTACAAGGTCTACGGGGAATTTTTGGCCGAACCTACGGGCTCGGATACCCCACATTAAATTCGGCCTTGTGTTACACCTGAGCGCGTGTGGCGGTTGGTAGATATCATGCAGTTGGAGATTCATTGTGGAATTCACTTGACTTATTTTTAGCAGTTGATTAATTCTTCTACGCGCCGCTAGCGAATCTTATATGCGTTGTTCTTGTCCTAAGTATTATCGTTCATTATCAACCATCGTGTG